CGCGCTATCGTGAAAAATACTCTGCGCCGTCAGAACTTGCCGCGGGGCGCGACCGTCCGCACTCGGCTTCGGGCCCAGGCGCCCGCGCTGGCGCGCGTGCCTGCGCAGGCGACACATGTCGAATAAGATAAAGAAGTCACTTCCAATACGCATGAAACTTGCGCTTGCCATGCAAGCGCATTCGTTTGAGGCCGAACGCGCCGGCCACTGTCTCGCGACTCGAGTGGTTGCTCAGCAGCCGGCCACCAGGTATAATGGCATCGACTTGCCTAATTCCAAGTCCTAGTCTGCCGCCGCGGAGCGCGGCCATAAGCTGAGAGTAGATGTCTCCGACCGGCACATCTGGCCGCGCTTGGATTCTGCAGCGCTCCTCTCCGCCAATTGTAAGGAAACGCACTGATTCTCTTTCGAAAGATGCTTGCAGAAACAGTGGCGGCATCAAGTCAGGGACGTAACTCAACCCCGGACCCAACTCTGGAATCTCTCCGCAGGCGCAATCGTTGCGCCCTCGATGTCGTGCGTGCTTTTTGTTGCCCGATGGTCCAGGATGGTCTTCGATGGTTCTCGCCGAGAAAAAATGCACACGTCCGAGCGATACCCAGGGTCGGGGTGGTGTCTCCTCCCTTGAGGAGTGGCCCTCGGTGAGAGGCTCCGGCCTCCTCCTCCTCCTCCTCCTCCTCCTCGTTCTTCTCCTCCTCCTCCTCCTGCTCCTCCTCCTCGCTTTCCGTCCTCCTCCTCCTCCTCGTTCTCCTCCTCCTCCTCCTGCTCCTCCTCCTCGTTTTCCGTCCTCCTCCTCCTCCTCTTCCTCCTCCTCCTCCTCCTGCGCCTCCTCCTCCTCCTCCTCCTCCTCCTCCTCGATTATCAAAAAAACGGCGCGGCCATCGTCGTTGCGATCATCATCATCATCACCACCACCATCATCATCATCATCATCATCATCATCATCATCATCATCATCATCATCATCATCATCATCATCATCATCATCATCATCATCATCATCATCATCATCATCATCATCATCATCATCATCATCATCATCATCATCATCATCATCATCATCATCATCATCATCATCATCATCATCATCATCTACTGCTCCTACTCGTGCTCATGCTCGCCTCCTTCTCCTCTCATCGTCCTCCTCCTCCTCCGCCTACTCCTACTCCTACTCCTCCCCTGCCTCGTCCTCCTCCTCCTCCTCCCCAGTCTCCTCCTCCTCTTCCTCCTCCCCCTCATCATCATCATCATCATCATCATCCTCCTCTTCCTCCTCCTCCTCCTCCTCCTCTTCCTCCTCCTCCTCTTCCTCCTGACTCCTCCTCCTCTTCCTCCAAATCTGCTCCGAAAACGAAACATGTTGGAAGAGAAAATGACCAAACCGCCTGAGACATCCCCACAAAATTCCGCGAACGGGACCCCGTGAAATACCCCCCCGCCGCCCCCCTTAGAGTGCTGAGACGAGCGAATCGCCTGAGACATCCTCCAAATCTGCTCCGAGAACGAAACATGTTGGATCAGAAAATGGCCAAACCGCCTGAGACATCCCCACAAAATTCCGCGAACGGGACCCCGTGAAATACCCCCCCGCCGCCCCCCTTAGATTGCTGAAACGAGCGAATCGCCTGAGTCTGAGTGATGACTGAGTCTGAGTGATGAGAGAGCATGAGTGAGTCTGAGTGATGAGTGAATCTGAGTGGTGAGTCTGAGTGATGAGTGGTGTGTCTGAGTGAGGACTGAGTCTGAGTGATGAGTGAGTCTTGATGAGTGAGTCTGAGTGATGAGTGGGTGGGGAATCAAAACCCCCATCTTTGGATATGGGGAATCAAGAACACCATCTTAGGATATGGGGAATAACTTACGTGTGTGTCTGAGTGATGGGTGTGGTGTTCTGTCCTGTTCTGTGTCCTTCCGGCGCGGTCCGCCAATAACAAGAACCCCATCTTTGGATATTGGGAAAAACGCTCACACCTAAGAGATGCAGATTTATCCTCACCCGACTTTTTCCTCGTCCTGGCCTCGTCTTAGGTGCATCCTCCGGGGCGGATCCAGGCACTCTGCGAGTAGTTAAGGGGCGTCTCTGGGTCCCGGGGGCCGTCGAGAGCGAGCGGTCAGGGGCAGAAGGCACGGGTCCATGGGAAGCCCGGGGGGACCGAAATGGGCACGGAAACAATGGGTACAGCGTCCAACAGCAGATGATCGTTTTTTATTATTTGTTTTGCCGATCGGCGCGGGCCCTCGGACCCGTCCCTTCCGCCCAATGTCGAAACGTCGAATAAAAAAAACGCTCACCAACCGTTTCGGTGGCGAGCGAGGGGAGAAAGTGAGAAGGAGAAGGCCTTCTCATAGGGCGGCGGGGTTTCTCAGAAGCGCTCCGGCCTTCTGAGAAGTTTTCTGTGTCTTCGGGGAGGCTTCGAAAACTTCTCAGAAGGCTTGGGGGCTCCGAGCCTTCCGAGAAGGCCCGCGCCTTGTCGGTGCCCTCCCTCGCTCGGCGCCGACGGAAGTTCGGGGGGACCGTAATGGGCACGGAAACAAGGGGTACGGCGTCCGACCGCAACCGAGGCGGCGACGAGGAGCCCGAGAGCACCCCGAACGGCACGCCGCCCAGGCAAAAAGGCCCCCCCCCCGAGGAAGGAACCCAAGGCCAAGCAAGCCACCACCCCGCGGGGTCGAGAACCCCAGCAGCCGCCAGGGGCCGCCCCGCAGACGCCCTGAACGCACAGGCACCCACGGCCCGAGCCAGGCCCAAGCTTTTCGAGCCAAGCCCAGCGCCTCGGCGGCCGCGCTCCTGCCGTCCGCCAGACCCTCGCCCTTCGGCGAAGTTTGGCCAGAGATTCGAGGTCTCACAGAGGGGCACTCGCGGCATTCAGAGCACCAGCGCCTCCAGCCCCGATCGCATTCCCGAGAAGAGGAGCGCCTTCTCGACCTCCTCCCTGCGGGCCTTCTGGTCCATGACCTGCTGGCAGTCAAGGGTGTTCTGCACCGCTACCTCCATGTTGCACCTGACACTGTCCTCGAACTTGTCCCGCATCTTCTCCTCCTGCAGGATGCTGCGGACGGTGTAGCAGTAGCTCGCAAGGCAATCTTTTGCCTCGAAATTGTCTTCGCGAAAACCGCGACCGAAGATCTTGAGAAGAAGCGGGTTGACGATGCCCTCTACAGTGGGGGCCCATGCCAAGAAACACCCTGCTTGTATCCAGGGTGCCCTGGTTTTCTTGGATTTGATGTTTTTCGATGGAAGGCGCGACGTTCCCACACCAAACACCAATGGACGTCCTGGGGTCTCAGGGTTGGGTTTCTTGTGGACGGTTTCTTGTGGTCGGGCCCCTGTAGCTCCTTCCGCTTGCCCTCGTAGCCTGCGGCGTCCGCTACCTTTGGCCACGCCAAGCCAGTGTAGGGTGTTCTGCACCGCCTCCTCGATCCTCTCCTTGCCCCCGTTCTCAAGCTGCTCCTGCAGCTTCTCCTCCTGCATGGTGTTGCGGGTGGTGAAGCAGTAATCCATGAGGCTGGCATTCGCGATGAAGGCGTCCTCCGACGTGGACTGGTATTTCTCCGCGTTCCCGGCCTGCGGCAAGGTCGACCCGACCATCTTGATCTCGGCCTTGGCGCCGAAGACCGTGTCGGACACGCTGTGGGGGCCGTCCGCGTCGCTGGCGTACGTGGAGCTCTCCGAGCCGTCCACCTTCTTGACCCTGGTCGTACAGTGCCGTTTTTAATACATGCTCCGCGTGCGGATCATGTATTAGACATGCAGGGATTTAGTATTACAAACAACGATGAGTTCATGCATACATTTATTCATACATCGATCATGCAATCAAACAATCAATATTTGTAAACATCCCATGTATTAAAAACTACCCTGTAATGTCGCCACCGATCCGCGCCGCCGCGCCAGGGTGGCGCACGAGGGCGGCAGCGGCGCCAGCGCTCCCGGCATCGCGCACCGCGCGGCTGGGCAGGCGGCCGCCACCGGGCGCGGAGGCCCTGCAGCCCCCTCGGCCGCTGCCTCGCCGCCGAGGGCTGCCGCGGTGGCCGACGCGGCGAGCGCCGCCGACGCGCCGCGGCCGCCGCCTTTCGGCGGCGCGTGGCAGCTGCGCCGCGGTCGCCTCCACTGGCCCAGCCGATCAGTGCGCGACCACGGCGCCGACACGCACAGCGGCGGAGCTCTTGCCCCCCCGAAGCCATCGGCCGCACCGCGCGCCGCGGGGCGCCGCGAGAGGGCCGATGGGGGCGCGCAAGCCGCCTGAGCCCAGATTTCTACGGAGGAGGAGGAGGAGGAGGAGGAGGAGGAGGAGGAGGAGGAGGAGGAGGAGGAGGTGGAGCTGGAGGTTGGCGAGGAGCACAAAGGGGCCCTGCTCGACCTCTTCTCCGCAGGTCTTCGGAGGTTCCGGAAGGTCGCTGGAGGCCTCGCAAAGAAGACGAAGCAGCCCTCAAGCCCTCATCCTGGGCACGAGTGCCGCCCTGGTCGCCTGGCCAGGGCCTGGCGCTGCAGAGTTTCCCTCCCGGATGCCCCCCAAACCTCTGTCACCAGCCTGCGTGGCTTGGTGCCCAGCGCAGCTGGCCTGCCCTTCCTCATTGAGGAAGGCCCCCAATCAGCCCGCGCTCCAGACTCCTGTTGCGATATGCTGTCTGCCCCACTCGACATCGGTCCTCCCTCCACCTCCACCTCGACCCTGAACCCGGACCTCGATCTCGGACTCCATGCAAGGCCCTACGGGCCCTCCACTTGGGCCTCGGCGCCCCTCGATATATCCAAGCCCTCGACCTTCGAAGGAGGGCCAGTGGAGACAACGGCCGCTCTCCTGCCAGGCCCAAGTCCGCTCAAAATTGTTCCCTGGACCCCTCCCAGAGTTTATCCTGACTCGTTTTTCGAGGCGGATCCAGCCGTGGCGACGAGCAGTCTCTAAGAGGCTCAAACATCGTCGTTGTCTCGACGGGCCCTTTGCCGAGAATCTTCAATTCCCCCAAACGCCTATCCCCCCTTGGTCTGGACCGAGGCGCCTCATGACCAACATCATGCCGCTCGCGGATGCTATCGTTAACGGCCCGCCCCCGTCCTTCGTCCGCGAGGACGCTGGAGTGTCGGCCTTGGCGCTGGAGGAGGAGAAGGAGGAGGAGGAGAAGGACCAGGAGGACGAGGCGGAGGCTGAGAAGGAGGACGAGGACGAGGACGAGGACGAGGACGAGGAGGAGGAGGAGGAGGATCAGGGGCAACGGGAGGGGGGGAGATAGGCCCAGGGGGGGCAACATCGACCTCCCTCAATCGCCCGCTCATCGCCGATCAAGGCCTCGGTACCCCAGGCTGCCCGGGATCGTGTGGTTTCGCTATCGTGGACCAATCGCCGATCTGTCGGCAATGTATCACCGAGGTCAGGTCGCCGCTCCCCATCCCTCCCTGAGTCGGTCCCCCCGTTCGTTCGTTCGTCCTCCCGTAGAGGAGGAGGAGGGAAGAAGGACTCGCCACGAACCACACGGGTGCTGCAGGAGAGGGATCCTCGAGGTTTTGGGCCACCTTTGTGCTCCCAGAGCACACCCCGCCGGGCCGTCCAAAAATAACTCGGGATGATAATCTGGTCCCAGGAAAGGGCCGTGGGTCCGGAGCCCGCTTCCCTCATGACCCCATGCCCTCCCTCATGGCAAGGAAGTAGCGTTGAATATGGATTGGCCTGGGTTCTCAGGCACAGGCAGGTCCGAAAAAGAAGGTGGTGAAACACAGGATGCACTACCCATGGGGAGCAAACTTCCAGATCCGCTCGGTCTCGCGGGCACACGCACGGCTCAGCACCAGCCCAGTGGTAGTAGCAAGCCGCTGAGCACGAGCGCGTTGATGACAAGGAGGCCCAGAGTCCTGATCAGCGCCGGTTTCATGAGAAGGAGCGTCACGATCACCCGCAGCGCCCCAAGCAGAGACGCATACCCCACGGACAATATGATTTGCTTCACGATGAGCATCAGCATGAGCTCGGGGACCGGCGCCGATGCACTCCTCAGCAGCAGCTGGTGCTCGGCAGCACGACACCCACCAGCAGCAGCTGGAGGAGAAGGAGCGTATCGGCGATGAGCCCGATCACTACGAGCAGGGTCAGGATCGAGGCGAACAGCAGCGGCTTAATCACGTGCGCCGTGCTCCTCTTTGTCCACGCCCGCCAGCCGAGCGGCAACAGCAGGACGACCTGCACCAGCTTGCCGAACAGCCTGAGAGCCCACTTCAGCATTGCCGGGCCCAGCGCCGCCACGCAGCTGCTCAGCGAAGGCGGCGCCAATCCTGGACGGGTGACAGCCGCGGTGGTCGAGCGCGTCAAAACAGCGCAGCAGGCGCTGCACTGCGCACGCATGCGCCTGGTCGCTTTGAGCGCGGCGCGCAGCAGCCGCACGGCGACGCCGGCCAGCGGCTACCCACGGCGGAGGAGCCATGGAGGGAGGGAGGAGGGCGAGAGAGACGGCAAGGGAGGAGGAGGGGGGGGAGGGGGAGGAGGTGGAGGAGTGAGTGAATGAGTGAGTGAGTGAGTGAGTGAGCGAGCGAGCGAGCGAGCGAGTGAGTGAGTGAGTGATTGAGTCCTGGAGCCACTTCGGCCCAATATCTCGTGGCCTTCGGCCCATCCCGCCTCTGTGCCTGGGTTGTGGGTCAGAGCTCTCATGGATGCTTCTTGGGGTCTCTCTGGAGCGCCCTCGGGGGCCTCTTGGGGGCAGTTGTGGGGCCTCTTCTGGCCTCCTGGGGGGCCTCTCGGGGCCCAGGGCTCGCAATGTCCGTTCGGGTCCCCCATCTGGGCCCCTCGTGGGGCGGTCTTTTGGGCCCTCTCGGGCCGTCTTGAGCGCCTCTTGGGCCGTCTTGGGCCCTCTTGGGCCACTTTGGGGCCCTCTTGGAGGCCTCTTGGGCCGTCTTGGGGCGATCTTGGAGGCCTCTAGGGCCGTCTGGGAGCGTCGGGAAGCCGACAAAAACTAGAAAGGCAAAACCCTTTTCAAACACAAGACAATTAATGATTTTGGCCTCTTGCGGCCCTCTTGGGAGGCCTCTTGGAGGCATCTGGCGGCGATCTTGGAGGCCTCTAGGAGCGTCTGGGAGCGTCGGAAAGCCGAAAAGGCGAGAACGCCAAAAACACTAATTTTGGCCTCTTGGGGCCTCTTGGGAGGCCTCATGGAGGCCTTTGTGGGCGTCTTGAAATTCTCTTGGGCCGTCTGGGGACCATCTGGGGAGACATTTGGGCGTCTCGAGTCCAAACCATCTTGGGAGTCTCTTGAAGCTCTCCTGGTTGGCTGCGGAGCCCTCGAACCTCAGGGGGTGCGCGGCCGGGCCCCTGAAGAGCCCCCAGGATCGAGGACTGAGAGCTCAGGGGATGGGGCAGTGGACCCGAGGACGCGCCCGCTCCGTGCCCGGCGGCGCGGTGGCGGATCTCGCCGTGTGCAGGGCTCCGAACCCTCCGCTCGAGGCAAGGCCCAGGGGTGTCCCCGCCTGGCGCCACCGCGAACCTCGCCGGGCACCCATTCGGAAGCACTCTCAGCTCTGGACCATACAGGCCTCGGACAAAAAATAGCGAACACTCATGCCACATTCATCTGTGAACGCCTCCCCCTCCCCCCAATGTTCAAAGTTGGCGGTGGGTCTGATGAGTTGCACCCCGACCGCAGTCTCCCCCCCGCGTGCCAACTTCGAGTTTTGGGGGCAGGGGGGGTGTTCACTAATTGTTTCCCTCTACCGAAGCACTCTCAGCTCTGGACCATGCCAGAGTCTGCTGGCGCGGACAAGGCCAAGCACACTCTGCAGGTCATCGCAAATTCTTCTGCGCACCACACGGGGAGGTACTGCTGTGGCAGGTGGCGAGCAGACCCTCGCCACGTGCCCGTGGCGCCAGTGCGGAAGGCACTTCAGGCTGCTGAGTTGAGGTTGTGCAGTCGCTGCAAAGGGCCGCCCCACGCCAAGGGAGCCTCTCCTTCCGAAGCCTTCCGCGGCCTCGTCAAGGCGGCCGCTCTCCCGCGCCACCCCGTCGAGGGTCGTGCACGGCAGCCTCAGCGGGCGCGGCGAGCCGTGGGCGATGCGTATCGTTCAACCCGCCCGAGACCTGGCCAGCCTTGGCGGCCAACTCGGGGGGCGGTGCGGATCCGGACAGAGGAGGAGGAGGAGGAGGAGGAGGAGGAGGAGGAGGAGGAGGAGGAGGAGAGAGAGGAGGAGGAGGAGGGAGGAGGAAGGAGGAGGAGGAGGAGGAGGAGAGAGGAGGAGGGAGGAGGAGGAGGAGGAGAGGAGGAGTAGGAGGAGGAGGAGGAGGAGGAGGAGGAGGAGGAGGAGGGAGAGGAGGAGGAGGAGGAGGAGGGGCGGAGGAGGAGAGGAGGAGGAGAGGAGGAGGGGGGAGGAGGAGAGGAGGGAGGAGGGGAGGGAAGGGGGGGGAGGGGAGGAGGAGGAAGAGGAGGAGGAGGAGGAGGAGGAGGAGGAGGAGGAGGAGGAGGAGGACGAGGAGGAGGAGGAGGAGGAGGAGGAGGAGGAGGAGGAGGAGGAGGAGGAGGAGGAGGAGGGAGGAGGAGAATGAAGAATCGAGAAACTATCGTGACCCGTGCCCTCGCGTCGCCGCTCTCCGATCCTGAGATCCCAGAACTGAGGAGCAGCGGCTAGCCTCGATGAGGAGGCTGCAGTGGCAGCTCGATCTCGATGGGCGCAGGCAGGCGGTGGCCGACAGCGATGTCCCCGTCGAGGCCGCCGAGCATGCGCGAGATCACGCAGGGAGCCTCCTGCGGAATGCAATCGACGAGGCCGCCGAGCACGAGCCTCTCGCGGAAGGCCGTCGACGAGGACGACGACGACGGCGACCGACCAACGATGAGGGCGCCCGACGCCCGATGCCTTCAGCAAGCACCGACGGCGACGACGCCCCAAAAAGCCCGAGCCGCCGGGCGAGGACGGCGCTCGCCGGGGCCCGCGGGCTCACTCTGCGCGACCACCCGCCCGGCCGCCTCGCGTGCCCCTCTTCGGGCCCCTCCAGGGGAAGCCCCATGGGGGCTCGCTTCGGCACCGTTTGGGCACCCTTTTCGGACCACCCCCCGCCGCCCCCCCCGCTTAGGACCCGCACAGTGCGCCACGCCCACTCGACCTGCCCTCTGGGGCCCGCCCGCCCGACCCGCCCGCGTGCGGGCCCGGCCCGCCCGAGCCGCCCGCGTGCGGGCCCGCCCGCTCGCAACTGGCGTGCGAGAGCCCGCCCGCCTGGCCTCTCGCCCGCCTCGGCGAGCCCGCTCGCCACAGGGGGGCCCGTCCGCGCCCGGTCCGCCCGCCTGTGGGGGGCCCGCCCCTCGGCGAGCCCGCCCGCCCGACCCGCGGCGGGCCCCGCCGGCCCCGACCGGCTTGTGCAGGCCCGACCGCTCGCTCTCATGACCCAGGGGCAGCGATAGGGGGGGGGACAGGCATGGGGTCGAGGCGGGCCTGTGCCTTGTCCCTCTTTGCAACAGGGAATGTTCGAAAACAGTTTCATAAAATAGTCTGGGGACGATGTTTTGACTATGTTTGAGCACTTCTCTAATATTTAGTTTTTTTTTGTTTTTGTTTTGCTACTTGTGATTTTTTCTTCCAAACTCCCCTGTATGGGGGCCAGGCCCGACCTGCGCATATAGGGGGGGATGGGCCCGATGGCCCCAGCCTGCCCGGAGAGGTGCGGATTCGCTGTCGGGGGCTCGTCGCCGATCTATCGGCGATGTGTTGCCGATTCCAGGTCGATGCATCCCCCCCTATGCCAGTCCCCCCCCTGTCGCTGCCCCTCCATGACAGCCGCCCGGCCCACACGCGCCGCCCGCCGACCCGCTCGTCGTCGTCAGGGTCCGCCCGCGCCACCCGGCCAGTGGGGTCCGCCCGCACGACCCGCCCGTTTGGGCCGCCCGCTCGCCGAGACAGTTCCGAACACCGACATCAATCATCGCCTTGAGCCTTTCTTCCTCTGAGAAGCGAGCGTGACAGTCCTCTCTTGTTTGAGTGTCTATCTGCTGTCCGCTTACAACGCAGAGTACTGCTACCATTGTTGTGCTGCGGGAGATGGGATGAATAACTTTTCATTATCTTGTCATGCCAAGTTCTGCTTGATGATACGTATATTGCCACGCAAATGCATTACTGTCGTGGCTACTACGCTCTTACCATCACTGCCGTGGTCATTTTGCGCAGCATCAGCGTGCTGCTAATTTGCCTGGGGTTTCTGTTGATGCAACTTGAACTTTAGTGGGGCATCCCGCTTCTGTGCTCGGGATTTCCCAGCTTGGGGTTCTTAGTTGTTGGCGGAAGAGCTGGTGGGTCCGGCGTGGCCAGCGGAAGGTGGCCCTTGGGGTTCCCTGGATTGCCCCATTTTGCCCGATTGCCTGGCGTTCCCAGGGATTGCGCGGGGGTTGCCTGATTCTGGCCATGCCAGGCACTGCCGAGCAATGCTAAGCCAAGCCAAGCATCGTCCAGCATAGCCAAGCAGTGCCAATCAACGATTTCAAGCAGTGTCAAGCAATGCGACACCAATACCAGGCAATGCCAGGCAACCTCAAGCAAGGCCAAGCAATGTAAAACCAATGACAAGTTAATGCCCAGCTTTGCCAAACAATACCAATGGATGCCAAGCAGTGCCAATCAATGCCAAGCAGCGCCAACCAATGCCAAGCAGTGCAAACATGTACAAAGCAAGGCCAAGAAATGCCAGGTAGTGCCAAGACATGCCAGATGATGCGAAGCAATTGCGAGCAATGCCAAGTAACGGCAAGTAACGAGTCCAAGCAATGCCAAGCAACGCCAAGCAATGCCAAGCAATGTAACGCACTGCCAATCCAATACCAAGTGACGCTTTGCATTTCATTGCTTTGTACTGCTCGGAACTAGTTTGAATGGTTAGAAGACAGAAGCCCAACCAGAAAGCACTTGGCATTCTGCCGAGCCTCAGCGCGCCAGGGGGCACGGTGGCAAATTTCAAGCGCGAGAAGCAGACGTTACGTACTGCTGGCAGGCGGAGACTCGCAGACGGATGCACCGCAAGCGCAGCGAGCGTATGACGGTACCCCTGACCTCCTCCTTCTCCTCCTCGACGTCGCTAAACAAAATGCAACCACGTGTTAAACACCGCGACTGGACCCTCGACCCCACCTTTCCGCGGCAGTTTTTTTCGAGCCAGATCGACGTGTACTGGTGTCCCAGAGCCCGATAACTGGGCGGAAACACCCAGGCTGGTGAGCGTTTTTTTATTCGGTGCTTCGACATTGGGCGGAAGGGGGGGGGGAGGTGTGTGTGTGTGTGGCTCCAGACATCTGCTTAGTGCGACTGTTTGGGACCGTGCGTCCTATGGGGGAGACTCCACCTGCTCGAAACAGGCGCCAAGAACAGCCAAGATCTACTCCACGGCATAGGGGGGAGGGGGGGGGGTGCGAGGGCCCGCGCCGATCGGCAAAATAATGCATAAAAAACGCTCACCTGAAAGAATCGTAACGCCCGGATGTTAGGGTAGGAGTTTCAATACGGGCCGATGGCGTATTACAGCAAGCATTCACGACATGCTGAGCGATAAGGACAGACGTCCCCAGCCCAGTGGTCCCTCTTAAGTGTAGTTTTTTGCCGTCGCCGGCCTCGCGCTTCTAAGGTCCTCGTCACGCTGGGCCGGTACTTCCCCAAGCTCAAGATGGTCCCAGGTGGATTCTCCCTTGTCCCCCTACCCCCCCCCCTGTGCGGCGTCGTGGGGGTCCGTCGTCCTTCGGAGGCAGTGCTGGTCCTGCCAGTGGGGGCTGCCCCATGCTGTCAAGGTTGACCCGCTCACCCATAAGTCGGGCTGCGCAGATTCGTGGCCAGTGTCGGCGTGAGCAGAGTAGCTCCTCCCAGATCCACTGCCCCCTTGGCCCCCCCGGCTCCTAGCCCTGCGGGCCACCCTCACGGTTTTTATATTTGCCTGTCCGCCTCTCCTTGCTACGGGGCCCAATCATATATACCACCACCGCCTCCCTCACCCCCTCCCTCTCCCAAGGAAGGGGAGAGGAAGAGGAGCCTGGAGGAGGGGAAGGGGGATGAGGGTGGTGGTGGTGGTGGTGGTGGTACTTGGGGCCCGCAGTTGACACCGCGTGGACCAGAGATGACAACGGCTCCTTCTTTTCCACTCCCCTCCTCCCTCCTCCCTTCTCTATTTCCGACGGCTCCCTGCGTCCGCCTGCCGCATTGGGACGTCGCCGCGGGCTGGCTGGGGGTTCACGGTTCTCCAGGCCGAGCTGGTGCCAGGCTCCGCCTTTGGCCCGCTGACAGGCTCACACGTCGCCTCGGGCCGAGATGTACTGCGCTGCAGGTCTTGGTCGTCGGCGTGGCCCCGCTGCACGTCTGCACGGACCACCTGCCGCTGGTCGAGGGCTTGGTGCACCAGCCCACGGCGCGACAACGTCGACCTCTGGAAGCAGCTGTGGCACTACGTCGATGACCAGTGCGGGATTGGCTTCGACGACTCGGCCGCCGTGCCCCTCACTGAAGTCAAGGGCCATCAGGCGGAGGTCACACGGGAGATGCTCGGCAACGATCTGGCGGACGAGGTGGCCAAGTCGGGCCGGCGGCTGCACGGTGCGGCGCCGTGGCGAGGTGCTGCGGCGTGTGCAGCAGGTCGCCGCCTGGATTGGCAACGTCAGCAAGCTCGTGCTCAGGGGCGAGCTGGCGGCAGAGCGCGTGGCGCGGCCGCGGCGCCGCGCGCAGGCAGCCCCGGTGAGAGGCGCAGCCTGAGCGCCTCGCCTCGGCCCACGGCCGCGGCGACGTGCCGCCGCCCGCGCCGGCACACCCGCACCTCTCGAGTCTCGTGCGGCGCCGAGGACGCCGCCGGGTCTGCGACCGCTGTCCGCGCTTCGTCCGCACGAGTCCTGGGGCCCGATCCTCCTCCGCCTCCGCCTCCGCCTCCTCCTCCTCCTCCGCCTCCGCCTCCGCCTCCGCCTTCTCCTCCTCCTCCTCCTCCTCCTCCTCCTCCTCTCCTCCTCCTCCTCCTCCTCCTCCCCCCCGAGGTTTGGCCACGGCATGGTGGCCGAGGCGGTGGCCCCTGGGCGGAGGATGGTGGTTCGCCCGCGGCTGACGCTGGCCCTGGAGTTTCTCGGCCCCGTCCCCTGCGCCCGCGGCTCCCGGGCTCGAGCACGGCCTGACGGAGGCCCGAGAGCCTCGGCCACTGCCCTGGATTTTTGGGCCCTGAGCGGTCCCAGGTTTTTTCCTGCGGGGGAGGTTTCGGGCGGAGGCCGAGCAACGAGCTCTCGACCTTTCGGACCTGCGCACGCCGTTTGCGCCCAGGCCGCTCGGAAGTGCTCGTGCCGGGACTCCCCAGGCCCGATCCGCTTCTCCCCTCGGGTGCGTCCTCTAGTGACGGCCACCTCTTGAGGCAGGGGTGCGGGAGACGATCAGGAGGATGGTGGGTCGGCGGCCCTTGTGGGTCCCCCCTCCCAAGGTGCCCTGCCAGCCCCAGCCCCTCAAGAGACCTGGGAGTCTTGTGGGGGCGCCGCCCCCTACGAAGGCTCCTAGGGGGGGCCCAGCAGGCTGCCGCGAGAGTGGCGAGGGAGGCCAGCCTGCCCGATCGTCCCCTGCCTGCTCAGGGCCCCGTGGGGCTTGCGAGCGCCAGGGGGCATCCTATTCGCCTTGTTGGCACCCTCGCATTTTGCCGTCGGTGCGGCTCCCGTGCCAAGGCCTCCGCTTGCAGGTCTCGCTTGTGGGATCCTTGCCAGGGTTTTGTGTCCAGGAAGGGTACAGTGGGTAAAGGCCCCATCTCGGGGGAATGGCTGGGGGACCCCAGGCCGCTCCTTGCTCAGGATGTTGCCTGTTTTCGACTTCGTTTTCGGTAGCTCGCCCGCGTTCGAAGTCGCTTTGCGCGCGTTTTCGCTCACTGGAGCTGCTTCGCTCGTCGAGTTGCGCTCGCTTCTTTTGTCCTCCTGATCTTGCCACCCCTCGCCCTTGCCCACGCGCGCTCGGACGTGTAGGTTATGCTACGCTCAGCCACACGCCGAAGCGCGCAGGCGAAAGCAGAAAAATAAGTGGGACGCCAAAGCACCAGGCATCGCGTACAATGTACATAAAGCGTGCTACAGGTAATCGCCTTCTCCACAGTTGTTTGCAATGTTTGCAGCACTAGTTCGCCATGCGATGGGGTCCTGCAGGCGCTGCGACCAAGAGTGCTCCAGGTCAAGATGAGCAACCCACATCTTGTGTATGCATTTGGCCCGTTCGTGTTCGGGTTGGCTCTTCTCCTTTGATACGCATTCACGACTGAATGGACGCTGTCTGGTTGAAAAGTGGGTCGCTCGCCGAAGAAAGTCTGTATTGGGAGTCCGACCAATTCTGCCAAATAGTAGATATGTTGTTGAAGAAGTTGTTCGCTGTACTGAATTTGCGGAAGGTCTTCGCGGCCACGCTCAGCAGCGTCAGCTCGTCGAGGGAGCTGTCGTGGGCCAACCTGTCACCAACACTCTCTGGTCTGGCAGCAAAGATCCCGACAACCGGTCAGAGTATTTCATCTCAGCCGGAAACGAGAGGGAGTACAAGGAAAGTACGTGACCGTGTACAAATACAAAAATCGGCAAGATAAGAACTCGGCTGGAGTATTTCATCTCAACCAAGAGCGAGAGCAAGTAGAAGAATGTGTACGTGACCGTCTACGAATACATGAGGGCCCTCGCCTGTAGAACTCGTAGCAAAAACTGGCCAGATCGCGAACTCCAGCCGGAGTACCTCATCTCAGCCGAGAGCGAGATGTCGTAGAAGAAGTGCACGCGAATTATGAGGCCGTCGAGGCGTCCCTGCTGCCTGCTGTGCAGCACCCGCGAGGCGGTGGAAGCCGAGGCTCCCGCCGCCCCTGGGGGGGCCGGGCACCGCCACCCTATAATAGGCCCCAGGGCCGCAGAGGGTGGGCAGCGGCGCCTGCACGAGGGCCCACCAAGAAGACCCCAACACCCCCCAAAGAGCTCCAAGAGGGCCCCTAGATACCCCAAAAGAGCCCCAAGAACAGCCCAAGACCCCCACCCCCAAAAGACCCCCCCCCCGGCACGAGGGCCCACCAAGAATCGGGGCCCAAGAGACGGGGGTCAGTGCAAACGGGGGTCCGCCAGAGCGCCAGATCCTGCAGGATCCTGCGACGGTTGCCTCTGGCTGACTCGTGGCCAGCGAGCCGCTCGTGGCCGCGAGGCGGCCGCTCGTATTGGCTGACCCGGGTTTGCGAAGACCTGCGTTGCAGCTTTTTTTTGTTGTTTTTGGTTTTTTGTTTTCTCCCTGCACTGCAGTTTTTGGTCTGACCCGGGTCTGGATTGACCCGGGTCAGAAGATGCCCGAAAGAACCTGCCCCGCGGCCCATGCACGGGCTAGCGGCGACCACCGCCGCCCCGGCCCCCGGCCGTCCGAGCACTCTTGCGCTCGGGCCCCTGGTCGTCGTCCTCCCCGACTTTCCCGGCGAGCCAGTCAACCAAGCACTTCACGAGCGGGCCGTCCTCAAGTCTTGGTCGGGGCCACCGTGAGGTTGTCGTGCCTGGTCTCGTACGCTGCCACGACGACGAGGGCATCACGAAAGTCCTGGGGCGCAGCCGTGGCCACCACGAGGTACCACGTCCACGCGCGCTGCGGGTCCGAGTGCGGATCCGGGTGCTTGCTCTTCAGGTGGATCGATGGCTGGGCCGTCCATGTCGTTGAGGTACTTGAGAGCTGCCTGCACCCGCTGCTCGTGCGGGTTCGCGCCGTCGTCCATCTTCTTGTAGGTCTCCTTCATCGTGACCGTGACCACCACGCGCGCGAAGAGGACCACGCGCAGAGACGACCCGGAGGGATGTGGTCCCCCGTCGCCTGGCTTGGCATCCGTCCACTCCTTCCGCTGGGTCACCACCTGGGTTGTGACTTCTGGGTCTTTGAGCACCATCGCGATCGTGAACCGATCCGCCAGCTCGGCGATCGACCTGTCGTGGGCCACCAACAACTGCGCCATGGCTCGCTGGGCGCCTCTGGGGCGCGCGCCGGCCTTGGCCGCCGCCACTGGCTGAACCGCTCCGGCCGCTCCCCCGGCGTTCGCGAGAATCAGGTTTGCCATGGCTGTCGGGGGGGAGAGATGTCTCACGAGCGTGCCGCTCCGAAACCTCTGCAGGCGAAAGCATGTGTTCGTACTTTCGTACTGACCGACCGGCATGCTGTTGGCAACACATCGTTTGCGGCATGCTCCCGAATGCACAC